GCCGCGAGGCGCCGAGGGCTGGGCTGAGCCGGGCGGCCGCGTGGGTGGCCGTGGCGGGCGGCTGTGCGCGGGGGTCGCAGGTGCATCTGGGGCGGCTCGGTGGCCTGGGGGGCGCGTGCCTGTGGGCGCTGGACCGTGGGTGGCAGGTCTAGGCTCGGGGGCGGCCGGGGGCGCCTCTGGGCGCTGCGGATGGGGGTGAGCCCGGAGGGGCCCGGGGGGTGGGGCACGGAGCCTTCTGGAAGTCGGCCAATCGCGGCTGACTAGGCTGTGTGGGGGCGGAGAGGGGGTCTCCGGGCGCTGATCGTCGTCGGGGTGCCAGGTCGCGGGGCGTCGGATCGTGGCCGTATCTGGGAGGGGGAGGAGTTTATGCGGCGGCCTCGCTGGAGGCGTCCACCTGGGAGTGCGGACCTGGACAGTGGGGGAGGGGCGAGATGTGACGGGCTGGGGGAGGGTGTGTGGGACCTGTGTTCCTGAGTGGGGCTGTGGCTGAGGGTGGCTGAGGCACTGCCGGATCTGGGCTTTGGGGGACGGGGCTGCCCCTCGCTCAGGGAGCTTCCCTCCACCTCTCCCTGCACCCCCAGACATGCTGCTGCTCAAGAAACAGACGGAGGACATCAGCAGCGTCTATGAGATCCGGGAGAAGCTCGGCTCGTGAGTGTGTGTGTGTGTGTGCGCGCGCGCGGGTGTGAGTGAGAGTGAATATGTGTATCTGTGTGGCGGGATGGGTGGCATGGGACGGGGAGGGCTTCCCCATCTCCTTCGGCTAAGGGGACCCTTCTCCCTCCCCGCCTCTGCTCTCGCGCCCCGCCCTCCTCCTCGCCTTTCCCCTCCCTTCCTGCCTCCCCCTCTGCCGCAGGGGCGCTTTCTCCGAGGTGGTGCTGGCCCAGGAGCGGGGCTCCTCACACCTTGTCGCCCTCAAGTGCATCCCCAAGAAGGCCCTTCGAGGCAAGGAGGCCCTGGTGGAGAACGAGATCGCGGTGCTCCGCAGGTGTGCGCCCCGCAGTGGCTGGGAGCCTCCTGGGGTGGAGCGCCCTGCCTCCTCCGTGCCCCCAGAGAGGCCTGGCCGGGGGCTCTGCCTTGCTGGACCGGCAGGGGCGGTCAGTGGTAGGGTAGGGGGCAGGGGCGGGAGGAAGAGAAGAGGGTGAAGGGCTTCCCTGGGGGTCCAGAGGGGGCCGTGGCGGCCCGTAAGGGGCTTTTTCTTGCCGCTGCAGGGTCAGCCACCCCAACATCGTGGCTCTGGAGGACGTCCACGAGAGCCCTTCCCACCTCTATCTGGCCATGGAGCTGTGAGGAGGGCGGGGTCAGGCGGGGGTGGGCGGGGCCGGGGGGCCGGGTCAGCTGAGCCCCTGCCCCCCCAGGGTGACGGGGGGCGAGCTGTTCGATCGCATCATGGAGCGCGGCTCGTACACGGAGAAGGACGCCAGCCACCTGGTAGGCCAGGTCCTTGGTGCCGTCTCCTACCTGCACAGCCTGGGCATCGTGCATCGAGACCTCAAGGTGCCTCTGCCCTCCTGCCCGCCCGCCCAGGCCTTGCCCCGCATCCTTGTGCACCACGGGTCTGGGGGACTTGCGGGCGCCCAGCCCCGGGGACCACGCCACGGCTGACCTGGAGTTCTCTCTGACATCGGTGTGTCACAGCCTGAAAACCTCCTCTATGCCACGCCCTTCGAGGACTCCAAGATCATGGTCTCTGACTTTGGCCTCTCCAAAATCCAGGCTGGCAACATGCTAGGCACTGCCTGTGGGACCCCGGGCTATGTGGGTAAGTGAGGGGGGCGCCCCGAGGCTCGCCGGGGGCCGGGGGACCCTGTGGGAGCCGAGATGCCAGGGGCAGGGCAGGCGGTGGGCCACTCCTGGGGTGCATTAGGCTGAGCCCAGCAGCACTGAAGGCGTGCTGTGCGTGTGCGCGGGTGTGCGTCTGTCTGTCTCTGGCCCCCAGCCCCGGAGCTCTTGGAGCAGAAACCCTACGGGAAGGCCGTAGATGTGTGGGCCCTGGGTGTCATCTCCTACATCCTGTGAGTGACCACTGGGAAGGCTCTTCTGCCTGCCTGCCCCCTGCTGGGTTGGGGAGGTTTGGACAGCTGGGTGATTCATCTGTGGGTGCCAGGCTGTGTGGGTACCCCCCCTTCTACGATGAGAGCGACCCTGAACTCTTCAGCCAGATCCTGAGGGCCAGCTACGAGTTTGACTCTCCCTTTTGGGATGACATCTCAGAATCAGGTGAACTTGAGGCTGAGCCCAGGCTCAGGGAGCGGGGAGGGCCGTGGGGCCGTGGGGATGGGGCGGGCTGACCTGGTTTCCCTGTCCCAGCCAAAGACTTCATCCGGCACCTTCTGGAGCGAGATCCCCAGAAAAGGTTCACCTGCCAGCAGGCCTTACAGCATCTTTGGTGAGTGGGACCCCTGCTGAGCTGTCCTGGGACCAGAGGGTCCACACCCTCAGAGACCCCCACCCCTCACTGACCTTTGGCCTCGCCCTAGGATCTCCGGGGATACAGCCTTTGACAAGGACATCCTGGGCTCAGTTAGTGAGCAGATCCAGAAGAATTTTGCCCGGACCCACTGGAAGGTCAGTGTGGGGAGGGGCCTGGGGACCTGGCTCAAGGCTGCCCGCCCTGTCCGTCAGCCTCAGGAGGATGGTCTGGGCTGCCGGTGGTCTTTATGGTCCTCGAAGTCTTGGGACCAGGGCCGGGACACGGCCTGACACCCCTCTCTCCCTGCAGCGAGCGTTCAATGCTACCTCCTTCCTGCGCCACATCCGCAAGCTGGGGCAGAGCCCGGAGGGTGAGGACGCCTCGGGACGGAGGGTGATGAGCCACAGCCACCCGGGCCTCCACACTGGCCAGCCCCCCAAGTGGTGACACCCAGGTGCGTGGGGGTGAGCCCTGCGCCTGCTGGGAGCTGGCTCCTCGCTGAGCTCAGGGGGTGGCAGGCCCCATGTGGCCAAGAGCTCAGCAGGGTGGACCCCACAGGGTAGCGGGCTGAGGGCGGAGAGCACCGACAGAGGGGAGGAGCTGGGGTCCCCAAGAAGTGGATGAGACAGAGAGGTGGGGGGCAGGCCGTGCCGCTGGCATGAGGGTTCTCGAGGGGCCCGGTGCCAAGACCCAGTGAGCACCTCTGCTGAGAGCCTGGGCTGGGAGCAGGGGGCGCAGGGCGGGCCAGGGGCACCTCCTGACTGCCCCCTTCCCTGTGCTTCTCTCTTCTTCACCCCAGGCTGAGCGCACGGACCCCCAGACTCCCTTCCAATGGACCCTTTCAGTCC